GAGACCGGTGTGCGTCAAGGGGATCCGCTAGGCCCGCTACTCTTCGCCGCCGGGATTCACCCCGCCCTTACCAAAACCGCAGCGGCCTTCCCCTCCGTGATGTGCCTGGCCTTTGCTGACGACGTTACATTCTTGGGCGAGCCGCTGGAATGTTCAAAGGCCTTCTGCCACTTCATAGAGGGCCTGCGCGACGTGGGGTTGCGCCACAACCCAGAGAAATGCGCAGCGTGGAGTGCAGCGGCGGTCGATCCTCATGTGCTGCCGCAGGGGGTCCCATTTTGTGAGGAAGGCCTGCGGGTGTTGGGGAGTTTCATCGGATCTCAGGAAGGTGCAGCGGCTTTCCTACGCTCGCAACTCGAATCCATGTCTACCCCACTGCCGCACCTCTCAAAAATGGACCCCCAAGTAACCTCACTGCTATTGACGCGGTGCATCTCCAGGCGCATATCCTACCTCGCACGCACAACCCCGCTCTACCTGTTACCCGAAGCAGAATGGACCAGGTGGGGCCGGGCCCTGCTCCACGCCCTACTTGACGCGTGTGGGGTGCGCCACCCACGGGGAGAGTCGGAGGCCGCGCGGATATGGGACCAGGCATCACTCCCGCCAAGCCTAGGAGGGCTAGGCCTCGCAGACCCAGTGGTAGAGGGTCGGTACAGCTTCCTGGCCAGCCTAGTACAAGCGCACTCCCTCCTCAGCCCCCTCCCAGGCCCGGCGGGGTCTCACCTCACGGCAGCCCTACACAGCCTTGAAGCGGCGAACACGAGCCCGAATGAACTGCAGAGGTGGATCAACGACTGCAGAGAGAGTCTAACACAGGAAGCAAGGGACCTGATTGCCTCCGAGCTTGCCAAACCCGCAGGCCAGCTCCAACACCGACTAGCACTCATAGTCCAAGGCAGTAGGAGTGCCGCGCAGATCACTGCCTCTAGACAACTGGAGCTGAACCCCCGGGCGGGCCACACGCAGCGCCTCATCTCACTCACGGGCTACGGGGCAGGGGATTGGCTACTCGCCATCCCCTACATGCCCGCCCTGCGGCTCTGCCCCGAACACTTCACCTTTGCCCTCCAGTTCCGGCTCGGCCTGCCCATGTCCGTACCCAAGTGCTGTGACTGTGTCAAGCGGGTTGCTATCCTCGACAAGAGGCTGCCAAACCACCTACTGCGCTGTGGTACGGGACACGGTCGGACCAACACGCACAACGAGCTCCGCGACGAGTGCATCCGCATGGCACATGATGCCGGGTTTGCGGTACACAAGGAATGCACTGCCTTCAGCCCGGTGGATAACAAGAAGGCCGATTTGGCCTTCCGGGATCGGACCTCGGGGGCGGTATGGCTGGCAGACGTAACGATCACAGACCCCATAAGCAAACGAGATGAGAGGGCAAGGAAGGGGAGGGGCTGGGCAGCGCGGGAGCAAGCAGACAAGAAAATAGGGCTTTACCATGGCAGGGCAGACTTCGCAGGGTTCTTCCCCTTAGCAGTAGAAACCTACGGCTGCCCCTGCGAGGAAGTACCAACCTTCCTCAAGCTCCTAGCGGACACGGCAGCGAGGAAGCTCTTTAATGCGGACCCCTCTACCTACCAGGCCGCTAAGATGCTTCATCAATTCCGCCAGCGGTGGTCGGTGGCCCTGCAAAGAGCACAGGCGGTTAGCTTCCTCATGAAGCTGAACCTTGCAGCACAGGCGGAAAACCCCCCCTTAGGAGGACCGGAGGGGGAGCTGAACCCAGGGGACTGTTTTGCAACACTTGAGCCCCCGCATAGGGGCTGCTAGGGAGCATGGGTAGTCACTCACATGTTTGTTTCTGTTGTGTGATAACTATACTTGTTGTACGGCATGTTATATCAATGGAGGACCGTTTGAGAGAGAGAGAGAGAGAGAGAGAGAGAGAGAGAGAGAGAGAGAGAGAGAGAGAGAGAGAGAGAGAGAGAGAGAGAGGGGCCAAGGCTATTCAGCTCCCAGCCCAACCCAGACACACCACTGACAAGATTGGCTGTCTGGCCAGAGCTGAAGGCCTGGCTAAACGTGGGAACCTTAGAAAATCCCTCCAAGCCCTCCAGGCCACTCCTCCTGTGGCCCCCACCACATCTGACACTCTGGCTGCCCTCCAAGCGCACCACCCCCCTGCCGAACTACTCATCCCTGACTAGGTTCCCAGCCACACCACTGACACCCCACCTCTCATACCTCTTCGCGAATTCCGCAAAATCATCGCCAAATGCCCCAACGGAGTTGGAGCTAGACCCTCAGGCACAACTTTCAAACACCTCCGTGATGCTGCTCTTGGGAACCCAGATGTCTGCCAACACCTCCACGCACTCACCAACACGGCTCTCGCAGGCCAGCTGTGTCCCAAGGCCGCATCGCTGCTCACAGTCTCACGTCTGGTTGCATTCGTCAAACCTGGAGGAGGGATCCGCCCCATCGCAGTGGGTGAGTGCCTGCACCGCCTTATCGCGAAATGTGCACTTTATCTGACGCTCGCGGCCGCTCGCGACTTCTTCACCCCTCTCCAACTCGGCGTAGCAGTACCTGGGGGGACGGAAGCTGCCATCCATATCATCCGCACATTCCTGGAGGAAAACCTTACCGCGATCGCACTCCAGATGGACATAGCAAACGCCTTCAACGTCATCGAAAGAGCGCCGTCTTCGAAGGCCTGCAATCCACCCCACTCGCCCCCCTGCTCCCCTTCGTTAGACTCACATACGGCTCCGCCTCCATCTTACAAGTGGATGCAGGCTTCAATGCAGCTTCTCCAACGAGCGCGTGTGGAGTCCGCCAGGGCGACCCAATGGGACCGCTACTCTTTGCGGCTAGTATGCAACGCTTGCTTACTGCCACTGCCGCTGCGTTTCCGAACGTCGTCATCATGGCCTACGCGGACGATATCACATTCCTCGGCCCCGCGTCCGCCTGCACATCCGCCTTCAACCACCTCACGGCCGACCTCCTCCCCATCGGCCCGGCCCACAACCCTGCAAAGTGCGCAGCCTGGTCACCACGCCCCATGAACGACGCCGACCTCCCCACCGGGATCCACTTCAACCGCGCCGGTTTGCGGGTCCTCGGCAGCCCAGTCGGAACAGCCGACGGCTGTGCCATGCAGCTACGGGAAAAGCTCGCTACAGCAAGCACTCCGCTGCCGCTAGCATGGATCCCAACTCTCCCACCTCCTGCTCACCTGATGCATCAGCCGGAGAGCCTCTTTCCTCGCCCGCACCACCCCTCTAGCCCTCCTGCCCATAGCTGAATGGTCCGCGTGGGGTGAACGGCTGCTACACACCCTGTTTGCTGCAGCACAAATCTCAAAGCCTCGCGCCCCAGCGAAGAAGGAACGAATCTGGAACCAGGCCAGCCTCCCCACCACCATAGGAGGACAGGGACTCACTGACCCAAGCACGGAAGGCTCCTACGCCTACCTGGCGTCAGCCGTCGCAACGGCCCACCTCCTGCGCTCCCTTGGCTCCAAGCTGCACCACGAGGTGGCTGAACTCGCGCCACTGCTCAACGCGGACCCTACAAACCCTGCCGGACTGCCACAACGCTTGGCCGCCGCGGAAGCCAGCCTTCCCCCCTCAATAGCGGCTATGATAAGGGTCGGGCGGGAGAAGGGGGACGGGCTTAAGCTGCAACACGCACTAGCGCTCCACGTCCACTCGGCTAAGGCTGTCGCCGGCGTCCGCAGCAGCCGGCGCATGTCCCCAAACCCTCTCAAGGGCCACACGCAAAGCCTCCTATCCCTCCTCGGATCCGGAGCCGGCGACTGGCTGGCTGCACTGCCCCTGACGAGCGCCCTTCGACTCTGCCCCGCCCACTACTCCCAATCCATCCTCTTCCACTTGGGCCTCCCCCACCCAATCCCGCGCCAATGCGACTGCACCAAGGCTGTCAAGATCCTGGACAGCCTGCTGCCCAACCACCTGCTGCGCTGTGGGACAGGAAAGGAACGGACGAGCACACACCATGCCCTGCGGGATGAATGCGCCCGCATAGTCAAAGAAGCCGGTTACACTGTCCACATAGAAACAACGATGTATACGACGCTCAAAAACCTATTCGCGGACTTCTCGATCCGCGATCCCATCACTGGCTGTATACACATCTGTGACGTTACTGTCACGGACCCCATCTCCAAGTCCGACAAGCACGCGTGAAAGGGGACGGGGTGGGCTGCCTGTATGGTTGCAAAAAAGAAGATGGACAAATATGCAAATAGGAATGACTGGGTGGGGTTCATCCCCATGGCAGTCCAAACCTACGGCTGTACTTCACCTGGAGTGTTCGAGTTCCTCAAGATGTGCGCCGACCTGGCCGCCAAGCTACGTTTCAACGCTCCCCCTACCTCGGCGGAAGCAGCCAAGCTGTTCCACGAGTACAGGCAGCGCTGGAGCATCACTCTGCAGCGTGGGCAGGCGCATGCCATCAATCTGAAAACTCACACGGCCATGGAGGCGAATGCGGCTGGGATTGCGGATGCCACCGAACCACTAGCAAAAGGATACCTGTTTCAAATCCTAAAGCCCCCGCTTGGACCCTTTGTGGATCAGGCGGGTGGCGAGTAGGATGCTTGCCTCACCATCAATCTTGCATGCTTGTATGCATAGTGCTTATCAATACAACGGACCATTCGAGAGCCAGAGAGAGAGAGAGAGAGAGAGAGAGAGAGAGAGAGAGAGAGAGAGAGAGAGAGAGAAAGAGAGAGAGAGAGAGAGAAAAAGGGGATCCCTTAGCCCTCAGCCCTCTGCCTTATCCCTCTGCCCTCTGCCCTCCAGAGCTATTTAAGGGCTGTTTGGGTCCCTTTCTCCTCATTATTTTGTGTGGAGTTCATTTTCGGCGGCTCGCGCCAGCGGCCTTCGGCCGCGCGCTCCTGGCGGCAAGAAAACAAGGCAGAGGATTGCAAATACGGGGAAGTACACACGAGCAAAGGAAGCAAGGGAGAAGGGCTTAAACAAGACAAGACGGCATGCAGTTCTACACTAGGCGAAGGCCTACATCGTGTACGGCTCCGCCCCCTCCACCTCAAGCATCGAGCGCATGCACGCCGACATCGCAAGGAGAAGATGCGCTGACGACTGAAGTGTGTCCACAGGGGTCCCAACTCGAGGAGCCCCTACAAGATCCCCCACGTGGCGGGGGAAGGTACGCGCTAAGGGCGCTACCCCAGTGGGCGCTTCCGACACGGGTGCCAACGGCGACTCGAGCGACTCTGCCAAAGACACGCAGGACCCTCGGGACCCTGGACCGTAACTGCTCGGAAAGTTCCGCGTGGCCCCACACACCGCCAGCTGCAAGTTTGCCACCACCTCGCACGCCTCCGCCAGATTCAGAATCTGGCACATGGTCAGCATAGGGTCTCTCCCCACGTGAGTGGAGGGAGGTGCAGTCGAAGCTTCGCGCGGAAACGATGTCAGCCAACCAGGAGCCCGGCCAACAGAGAAGCGCTGTGCGGAGAAGCCCGGGACCTGACGAGGGGTGCGAATCTGAGCCCTCCCCTCCCGCGCAGGCAGATATTCGCACAGCGTCGGCACGCGCAGAGGAGCCACCTGGCAATGGTCCGCGGAGAAGGGAGGACCGTTGGTCACCTCAATGTGTACGTGAGTCGGCTCTCCACTCGCCCGCGCCTGCCGCACCACTTCCGCAAACAGATTCGTGGCCCGATCGAGGGCAGGATCCAGCCCGCGACCATTACCGCCACGCCCACCGCCATTCCGCCGGCCCCGCCGACCTCCGGAACCAGCAGAGTGCGGATGCGGATGGGACTGCTCGCGACGGCCCGAATCCCAGCGACGTCCAGGCGACCCCCTCCCCCGCGTCGCCGGAGATCACCGCGGAGAGCATTGCGCGGGCGATCGCGCTCGGGGTGAGCGATGGCCTGCCCGACCACGAGGGGATGGGCGGCGAGGAGAGCAAGGACGCGCAGGGGACCGCTCATCCCCCTCCCTGCCCTGATGAGGTTCACGATGCTCAGGAGAAGGGCGGCGTGGAGAGGGCTGCCAAGGAGGCTGACGCGGAGGCGAGTGCCCGCGCTCCCACCGCGGCTGACCATCCGGGCGATTCGACGCAACACGTGCAGGGGCCCATGAATACTCCGGCGAAGTGGGGCGCGCGGCAGGCCGATGGGGAAGAGTTAGCACTCGCTCGAAGCGGCGGACGGGCTCGCTTGCGGAGGGGTGCGCAGGGACACGCGGACGAAGCCCGGCAGGCGCAGGCTCCGGCAGCGCGCTCTCCGCGGAACCCTCCAGCTCCGGATCCCATCTCGCGGATGGGTCCATCACCCCCGACAGTACCGCAGCCAACGCCAGCACACCGACGAAGCGAAGACGAGGCGGACGCGGCACCTCTAACAGGGCGCGCGGGAGCTGCAGAAGGAAGAGCAACGCATGGAATCCGCGTGGGACGCGGTGGCAGCCGCCGCGGACGACGGGGAAACGGGAGAGGACGAAGAGGTGGTGGAACACGCGGTTCAAACCGGCGCCGCACTGGTGCAAGCGGCTACGCGAGAAATGCAGAAAGGCTGATGCGGGACAGGGCGGTAGGCGGCAAGGAACCGCTTAGCGAGGAAGTAGAGGAGGAAGCTGAAAATGACGAAAGTGACGGGGGTGACCCAGCTTTTAACCATGAAAGAGAGGGGATGTTGGGAGCAGAAGCCGAGGACGAGAAGGAGTTGGAACTTCTGCTTCGGGGAGAGGAGCTCCCCAGCCCGAATGCCCGAGGCGAACTTGCCAACCGAACCACAGCTCAAAACCGAGCCGCGGGGGGAAATCAAACAAGGAGGGGAAATCGAGCCGCGACAGAGAACGGAGTTGACTCTGCGACAGCCAATGAGAATTCAGCAGCCCCAATTCCAACCCCCCCGATCCTCAAACCTGACGACCTGGCGAAAAACTCTGACCTGTTTGCCCAGGTTGCAGACTGGGACCTTGGCCCGTTGCGCGACAGTCGCCAGCCCCCACTCGCCCGCCACCCTCAAAAAGACCTTTGCGATTTGCCTGCTGACACCGTTACTCCACCTAGCAGCCAACCCCGAGTCAGAACCAGGTTGGAAGTTACTGACCTTCCTCCCGCGCATACTTCTTCGCACCTCGTCAGCTCGTCAGCCTGACTGGAGCGCAATGATGAACCGGCTCCTACGTTTTTGCCAAGGGTTCTGGGCCGGCCTCTACGAAGAAGCTGCCGAAGCAATCTCCCTCCCACCGCTGCCTCGCCACGCACCTGACACAACTGGAATTCTCGCCAGAGCGGAGGGTCTGGCGAAGCATGGTAACCTCTCAAAGTCGTTGCAATCCGTGCAAGCCACGCCCGTGTCACCTGCCTCACCCAAAGTCCTCGAGGCCCACACGGCGAGACACCCACCTGCATCCCAATCGCTACTTGATTGGCTACACGCTGCCACAGCAGAAAATCCTCCCGCTATCGAAGCTCACGACTTCCGAAGGCTCATTGCCAAGCTCCCCAATGGAGTTGCCGAACACATCCGCGACGCAGCCCTAGGAAACGCCGAGGTTTTCACCCACCTCTTAGCCCTCTCCAACACGGCTCTAGCAGGGAAACTTCCTGCCGTCGCGGGGGAGCTCCTTACCGCCTTTCGCCTGTTGGCCTTCACGAAACCGCACGGAGGGACGAGGCCGATCGCGGTTGGAGAATGCCTACTGCGAATCATCGCCAAAGCGGCACTCTTCTTGATCGCGCCGTCCTCTAGATCTCACTTCGTCCCCCTTCAGTTCGGCGTGGGAGTAGCGGGGGGCATTGAGGCGGCTAAGCACACGGCGCGTACATACCTGGAGGTACACCCTGAAGCAGTCGCGCTGCAGATCGACCTCGCGAACGCGTTCAACGCGGTCGAGAGGAGAGCGGTGTTCGAGGGGTTGAGGAACGATGCGCTTGAGAGCCTCACCCCCCTGGTCCGCCTATCTTACGGAGTCCCCTCCACACTATTCCTCGACCATGAATTCGTGGCGGCTCCCCTGCAAAGCGCCAGAGGGGTCCGCCAAGGAGATCCTCTCGGCCCCCTACTATTCGCCGCCAGCATCCACCCCTGCCTCGTCGCGACGGCAGCGGCTCACCCGCAGGTCATCCTACTCGCCTATGCCGATGACATCACGCTCCTTGGCGACGCGCCAGCCTGCGCCGCGGCCTTCGACCACCTCACAGCCGCGCTCGCCTCTATGGGGCTCCTCCACAACCCGGCTAAGTGCGTGGCTTGGTCCGCCGCCCCAATTGACCCTGCCTCTGTCCCCCCCGGCATCACCATCTCGAGCGAAGGGCTGCAAATCCTCGGCAGCCCCGTCGGCACACAACAGGGCTGCTCTGCGGCAGTCAGGGATAGACTCACGGCAGCAGCTGAACCGCTCCCGTTGCTAGCGCAAATGGACCCGCAGCTCTGCCTCCTCCTCCTCACACGTTGCGTCAACCGCCGCGCCTCCTTCCTGGCAAGGACAACCCCGTTGGAGGTCTTGCCCGTCGCAGAATGGTCGGCATGGGGGGAGCGGCTGCTCCACCCGTTCCTAGAGGCCGTTCACATTGTCGCACCAAGGAGCAACGCGGAAAGGAGGCGTATTTGGCGGCAAGCCGCGCTTCCCGTTACCTTGGGAGGATTGGGCATTACGGACCCGGCCGTGGAAGGAAGTTACGCGTACCTCGCTTTGGTGATCGGCGCGGCTCACCTCCTGCACTCGCTCACCGACTCCCTACACCCCGCCATAGCTGCACTGCTCCCCCTTATGGACTCTGTTCCAGACTCCGTAGCAGCCCTGCCCTCGCGCCTAGCTGCAGCTGAAGCGGCCCTACCTCCAGAAGCCCTGGAAGCCCTTCAGGCTGGTAAAGATGACCCCAAGGGCCTGAAGCTCCAGCAGTCTCTGGCCCTGGCAGTCCATACCCGCCGCTACCTCCGAGTGCTGAATAGGGCGCAGCGGATGCGCCCCAACCCCCTCTCAGGGCATGCCCAGCGGATGCAGTCCCTGCTGGGCCCGGGAGCAGGGGACTGGCTGTTGGCAATCCCTCTCTCTTCTGCGCTGAGGCTGGGCCCCTCCCAACACTCTACTGCATCCGCCTTCCGCCTAGGCCTCCCCCTCCCTGTCCTGAGGCGGTGCGACTGCCGATACCGCACCACCTTCCCTGATGACCGCCTCCCGAATCACCTTTTGCGCTGCGAGAAGGGGAAAGGGAGGACTGCCACACCCCATGCTCTCAGGGATGAGATTGCAAGGATTGGAGCGGAAGCAGGCTTCACGGTTCACAAGGAGACCTATGCCTATTCTCTGGTCGAAAACCTCAAAGCGGATGTCTCCATCCGCCATCCCCTGACCGGAGAACTCTGGCTTTGTGATCTGACCGTGAGCGACCCGGTGTCCTACCAGGATGAGAACTGCAACCGCGCACCAGGATGGGCAGCTAGGGCGGCAGCTACTAGGAAGGAGGAGAAACATGGGGGACGGAACGCGTGGGTGGGGTTCCACTCCTTGGCCGTGGAGACCTATGGCTATCCGTCGCCGGGGGTGCTGGCTTACCTGCGGCAGTGCACGGAGCTGGTTGCGAAGCTCCGCTACAATGCGGCCCCTACCTCCCGAGAGGCTGCCAAGCTGCTGACGGAGTACTGCTAGCGCTGGGGACAAAGCTAACCCTCTCTCTCTCTCTCTCTCTCTCTCTCTCTCTCTCTCTCTCTCTCTCTCTCTCTCTCTCTCTCTCTCTAATGGTCCTTGTATTGATATAGCAGGAAAGTACAAGCATGCATGGTATAAGGGCCTAGGCGGCACTTGCGCGCTGGATCTGGAGCCGCGGCGATCGGCGCAAGCACGCTTGTGGTCCGGGAGCTGTGGCGCTCCCTGACGGGCGTTCTTCACGCCCTTGGAGCTCACCGCATGTAGATGCGGGCTCCGCTTCTACTTGTGTCGCCATTGCTGCTTAGGATGTTGTTGATGCCGCCATTGTTTGTATGCCGTTTGCTTAACCTCGGTTGTGTTCGTGTTCCTTGCCGTCCCCTCACGCGCGGCCGAAGGCCGCGCTGTCGAGCGTCGGCCGCCTTCGGCGGCCGACGCGAGCCGCTGGGTTAGAAGGAATGAACCCACGAAATGAATAATGAGACAAGCACCAGGCCCACGGCCTTATATAGCGGAGCTAGGGGCGGCTGAGAGGCTGAGAGGCTAAGGGACTAGGGGTCTATGCCTCTCTCTCTCTCTCTCTCTCTCTCTCTCTCTCTCTCTCTCTCTCTCTCTCTCTCTCTCTCTAATGGTCCGTATATTGATATGGCAAAAAGGTACAGACATATAGTTCCACGAGCATGTGAGATTCAGACTAATCCCTCTAGAGTTCCACCAGTGGCTCCAAAACAGCAAAGCAGTCCCCTAGGTGTAGCTCATGCCCAATGCCCCCTACCGGAGGGTTCTCAGCTGCTGCAGCCTCACCCAGTTTCATAAGCAAGCCCACTGACTGCGCCCTCTGAAGGGCAACCGACCACCGCTGCCTGAACTGATGCAGAAACTTGGCGGCATGATAGGAGTTAGAGTCGGCGTTGAAGTGGCGCCGAGCCGCGGTGTCTGCCAGCAGTTTGAGGAAGACGGGGACCTCTGCACATGGGCAACCGTAGGTCTCCACTACCAGTGGAAAGAAGCCGACTGTCTCAGGCCTGTTTGCATAGTGCTGGATTTTCTTATCTGCCTGTTCCCTAGCTGCCCATCCCCTCCCTTTCCGTGCCTGTGGGTCCCTGGTACTGATGGGGTCTGTCACGGTCACGTCGCACACCCAGACCGCCCCACTGCTCCTATCCGACATGGTGAAGTCGGCTGTTTGTTCCTCGACAGGGCAGTGGGCAGCCGACTCCCTGTGGACGATAAACCCCGCATCCTGTGCCATACTAATGCAGGCATCTCGGAGCTCGTTGTGGGTGTTGATGCGCTGCCTTCCAGTGCCGCAGCGTAGGAGGTGATTCGGGAGGCGGGGGTCTAGGATTTCGGTGTGATCAGAGCAATCGCAGTTTTTCGGGGTGGAGAAGGGCAGCCCGAGCCTGAATCTGACGGCATTTGCGAAGTGTACCGGGCCTAGGCGTCTGGTTGCTTCTATAGGGATGGCTGTCAGCCAGTCCCCTGTGCCATAGCCGGTTAGGGAGAACATCCGCTGCGTATGGCCTGCTAGCGGATTCAGTTCCATGTCCTTCGTTGCCTGTACTTGCACGGCGTAGCGGCTACCGTGAACCTGTAGGGCAAGGGCGTGCTGTAGTTTGACATCTTTCCGCTTAAGTCGTTCCCGTTCCAGTAGCTCTCGCGCATCCGAAGGCAGG